TAAAGCCCACCGGGAATGCCCAGCAGGCCTGGGGACCCAGCCTTGCTACCGCTCTCTACCACAGGCGGCCTGCTGATTGGCGCTCAGGCGGCAAGAGACGGTGCTGAGAAATCACAAGTTAGCCTTGACCACTGCTCAAACCAAATCACACTTTCCTGGGGGAGCAACTCTGGCATGCCCCCGCTACACCCTAGCAGGTCCCACCCTTCATGTCTTACTCCTAGCTTAATTGACAGTGGCTTTTAAAATGTGAATTGAAAATAATCCTCTTCTTTGGTAGCAACTAAAATGTTACCTGGCTAGTATTTGTATTCTTTTGCTCAGGAAGTACATTCTAGAAATTTTCTTTCAAAAATCAAACACACAGAATGGAATTTGCAATTAAAGATTTCTTATCAAGTGCTCTTTTGTGTGAGCTCCATCTTTGTTATCCCTGGTCGGATGACACTAACCCTGCAGATCTCGGCACTCGGCAGGGCGAGGCAAGAAGCCTTTCTGATGGAGCAAGGGCCTCACAGTGGGATGTCTGCAGGACTGTGTAGCCCGTCAAGGCAAGGTGCTGTTATTTAGAACCCAGGCCTTGCAGATTCCTCGTCCTCAGCTCCCCTCTCACAAAGGACGTGCTGGCCGCGCCTGCCTCTGCTGGAGAGACACTGCCACCTAAGCACAAGTCAGTCTTCTCACTTCTCGTTCCTTCTAGAGCTGCCCAGACAGTGTCCTCTCTGCCTACCCAAACTGCACTCCGGACTGCTGTCCAGTCCTCCCACGTCCCGCAGTGAGGCACCTACCCTGGAGCCAGTTTCTAGAATTCTATGCACCTTTGCAGATCCAGTGCCCTCTTCCAGCAGCTTCTGAGGCAAGGCGGAGGGCAAGCCCTGCAGCCAAAACACAGTAATGCAGGACAGAGGAAGGAAATTAAGTCAGCAAAGTCAAATGAGCCACTGCACAAGGAGACTGTTTCTCGTCAGTGTGCAGCAGGAAGCAACATGACGCTTCTGCAGTCCGTGCTGTGGTCTGGGAGACCAAGCGCAGGCAAGAGGAGATCACGGCTCTGTGAGGGCAGGGTGGGAAAATGACGCAGGTTCAAGGCATTTAGGAGATCAACCTGAAAGGTGGAAAGGCCTCTGGCTGTAAGAGCTGCCTCAGTGACAGGGGCATGTGGACTGTCCCGCCATTCCCTTCTCTTCCAAGCCCACGTCTACAACCCCAAATCCTGCAGGCACCTCTTGTAACTCCCAGGCCTACAGCTCTGAGGAGTGGGGATGTTGCAGTTAGAAAATATTCAGGGGTGGGTGTTCTCCTTTGTGCATCTGTAAAATGCATATGACCTCTTCAATACAAGCAAGCGAGCAGGTCTAAAAGTGCTTTTATTTAAACTAAAGCTGGCACCTGCACAAAGGAATCATCTCTAAAACTCCCCCAAGACAAGTGAATAGACTAATTTACAGCTAATGCATAAAAATGAAACGGGACAGAATTACTAATCACAATTTTCATTAAAGTGTAGTAGCTAGAGATTTAGTTCCCAAGATGTGAAAATAACTGTTACAGGGCACCCCAATGTGAACTGGGCTGCCTGTCTGTGGGGCCTCACCCACACACTTAAAGTACAGTTGTACTGCAGGCATGCACAAAAGGGTCAATAATGGGTTTATTTACAAAGGGGAAAGGAAAAGGAGCAACCCAGGGAAAGAGAGAGAGATACAAGGTAACTAGAACATCCTACCAGCTCCCCGACTTGGAATTCCAGTAACACAATGACAGCTCATCAAGAGCCAGGTGACCAGCCACCAGCCACAGAGAGCCTCACGGTCCAGAAAGAGCATGTCTCACACGGCTCCCTTGTCTATCCCCCAAAGTCCCAGGATGCCTGCTTAGCTTTGCCCATGGGTCCTCGCAGTTCTCGAGGTATTGCTGGGAGCTGTAGTTTACTGGAGTAGGGGTGGAGTCCACAAAGCTCTGCAGAGTTCCTCCAGCACATCCTTTCCCCTTAACAACTGGACCAAAGAAAGTATCTAAATGGCATATCTACTACACACTGTTCGGAGAGAGGCCTTATCTGAAATTCCTGCCCACCTGTGACTAGAAACCACACCGAGATGAGCTGTCCAAGTGACAAAGCCAGTTACTGCTTGCTTTATTGCATACATTTTGAGAGGAAACCAAGTGACAAAAAAAAATATTAAAGATGCACATTATGACCAGAGAAAACTATGTCTTACCCACTAAGGGAAATCCAGACTTGGACAAAATCACCCCAATTCCCCCCTCCCCCCCGGTACTGGAGGCAGCATGACGCCAACTCGCTCTTTAGAGCCGGAGCCATTCAACTTTGAACTACGATCTGACTTGAAGAACCCACATGAAGAAACTCACAATGAAATACAGCCATTATTCCAAAGGGTTTTTTTTTTTTTATTTCAAATTCATTGAAAGAAATAAAATTATATTTAAAAAAATAGAATAATCTCACAAACTGAGGAAAGCCAGGAACAAAAGGACAAGTACTTTTTCCTGAGAGGCAGACCTAATAGCTGTAGAAAATTTTCTCTTTCCTAGATTTTGTCAAACAAAATGTTTCCTGTTTCTAAGGCATCAAAAAGCACTCTGAGTGATAATGGGGCTGTATGAAGTTCAAGCCCTGCAATGGGGAGTAAGAATCATCAAAAGCTGCTACAATTGTCTTTCTTTTAATAGCATGTTAAGTCATACCTACGTCTACTTTTTTTAAACTTGAGAATTTCACATGAACTGAATTCCAAACATCTGGTCACAGTTTATTAAAATCTTACTGCTTCTTAGAAAGGCTGTCCCAAGTCTCTGTGCTCCCATCCCAGGACAAAGTGCTGGGCAGCAGGGGCCGCTCTCGCCAGTGTAAGCCACAACCAGCCAGAAAGGCCCTGTCCTGGGAGACGAGACGCAACTACAAATTTATCCTCAAGTCTAATTCCTAAATCACTGGACCTGCCACTAACGCAGATCAAGTCCTAATGGTTCACATGTAACATCAGAACAAAAGTTACACAAGTCAATTTACAATTCCCAAAGCTCTAAATTTACCCATTCCCCAATGCCGTTTCCCTTTATTTATATACTGAGAAATCTACCAAAACTAAAAACTTTTATCCCCAAACACTTCAGTATGATAATCAAAACAATGGTTAACCTTCTTGTTCTATGCATAAATCACTGCTTATGCCAAAGCTTTGAATAGGTAATAGGAAAACACAAATCATTGTTCCCAGAAGTTCCAATCTTATATTGATTTGAAATACTGAACTAAATACACACAGCCCTGATGATTTTTCTAAAGCTTCTTTTCCAAGATAGTTTAGTCAATTCTTACAATTTTACCCATAAATTCCATGGGGACATCAATTTCTGAAAGATGGTTTTTAATAAATAAGAGACTGAAATGTCTACAACCATGCACAAGTGCTTAAAGAATCAAGTCATGTCACTGCATCTCCAACTAGGTTAATTACAACATCAGCTATTAAAAATTCTGTGGATATATCCTAGTTAGTTATTCAAAAAAACTATCAACCTTTACAAGTGGGTCAATACTCCAACCAAAATAAACTGAATTGGGCCCGAACAGAACCCCCTAAGCTGTCTCCTGGCGCTACGGTAAAGCTCCCTGGAACAGCAACTCTCGGCATCAGCTCAGGGCTCTGTCCCACTCAGTGCACAAGGGGCCTTAGTGTCCGTGTGGAGCTGCAGGGCACGGCCACACCTCCAACCCAGGAGCGCACAGACAGCACTCTCCTACCCACCCAAGGGTGCCACGCTTGGCTTACATCCTGGTTACACTGTTCCAGGTCTTGTTATGAAACAGCATTGTGGCCAAAAATGATTATGCTCAATGAAATACCTGGTAACACACTTTTTAATCAGATGTGACTCAGACTTTTGTTACCAGCCCAGGCAGAAAAAAATACAAAAGCCTACAAATTTGAGCTAGAATTGTGCTTTTTAAAAAAGCAACAAGGACAACAGAATTAACATTGAAATAAACCATACTCTGGGGACGCCTGACTTTAGTGACTGCCATTTTTTAAGTCTCAACAAAAATGTCATTATCCTGAGTATTTTCTTTCTAAAATAATTTATGAGACATAAAAGCACACAAATGAATAACAGACGTACTGGACCAAAAGCCTGGAAGAACAACCCATTAACTAGAAAAAGAAATGCTACAAAAAATATATATATAAATGAATTTAAAGGAAATAAATTAAAGGTTAAAACCTTACACTTTCAAGTTTTCTTAGGCTATTATTTTGCGAGGTGGCATGGAGTTGACAATACATTTTTCTAATAATCAGTTGGTTGAGGCCAAAATACATGATTCTTTACTAGAAAATTTTGCCTGTAAAAGTCTCAGCCCCACTGCAGACACTGAACACAGGAGAAAGTACCTGTACTTTCTCTGCATCCTAATCAGCAGCTTTTGCGATCAAGCTGTGAAGACATTTTGTCCATCAACTTGGCTGCGAAAATAGTATCCAAGAAATGCTTACACTATAAGCAACTACAGAAACTAAAATTTGGCATACGTGTTTCTCTAAAGCCTGAGTCACTTGTGGGGTTCTCCCCACCCCTTACAAAACAAAATAATACCAATCCAGTAGCCTGAAGGTATCCCAAACACAGATTCTAACATACTTTACTTTTTCTTAGACCTATTTGCTTTTTCAGTGCTATTTATATTTTTAAAGTCAATGAAAATTCCCTTTCTCTACTTAATTTGGATTCTTAATTTAACCATCACTATTCAAAACCTTGTATTTGGGGAAAAATAGTATTAATTATGCTAAAAGTTTTTATGCTATACATAAAATCACTCCAAATTACAAAGCGATCAGTTTCCCTAGCCCTTAGGATTTTTAAGACATAAGAGACAACTCACCAATAGAGATAGCACAGATGTATTCAACTTTTCTTAATCCAATTAACCATCTCCATTAAAAATAAAAACTACTACATGACCCCATTCCTTTTGTCAACCTAAAAAAGAAGCATTTCTTGGAAAGTCAAGATTTATTAAGAACATCAAGGTCCAAGGTATTTTTGCCATTTATCTTAAAAATTTGGCTTTCTATCCCCACAAATATCCTACCATTTAAAACCAGATGTTTGAATTGTAAGAATAACATTTTTAGCTAATCAACTCTTCAGTGCTGATCCTAGAAAACAACCTTCAATGGATCTTTGAGTAATGGAACCAGACAGCGTTCAGCCATCGATGAGAGTGATTGTAGGTATCACACCTGTCAAGTTCAAGCCATGAGTTTGAAGTCTAGAGGAGTGAGGTCTACTGTCCTGCATTATCAGAATTTGTTGTCGTAGTTTCAGTGCTACTGGGTTGCACGTTGTCTGCAAGGTTATGTGCGTGCTCAAGAAACAAATCTTTCAGTACACTTAATTCCTTAGTCAGCAATTTAATTTTTGCTTCCAACCGTTCATTCTCTTCTTTGAGCTGATTGACTCTTTGCAGTGTATCCTGTGCTTTCTGCTTGCTTTTCAATCGGCTCTTTTTCACAGCCATGTTGTTCCTTTCTCTGCGCTGACGATATTCATCACTGTTTCGATCCATCGGTGAACTCTTTTTGCTCTGCTTGCTTGGAGGCACAGCTTTGCCACCTCCCCCCGGGCCAGCCGGTACCAGCTGAGGAACCTGCTGTAAGCCACTGGCATGAGCCTGAGTGTGAATAACACTTATTCCATTCACTCCCGGGGTGCTGTTCTGCTGCGCTATCTTGCTCATTTGGGCACTCTCCCTTTTGACACAGAATAGACAGAAACGAAGGTAAAGTGATCAATGGTTTCCACGCTAAACTGCCAAAAATCTTCTCATGGACCTAGTTAAAAAATAAAATGCATTAAAATATTTGAAATGACAAGATCAAATGAGATTAAACTTGCATGTACCTAACAGCAGGTTGACAATAATTATGCTTTAAAAAGTCTACATAACTGCCAACTCCTCCAGTGTTTCAAAAATCTAAATCATTTCTCTTAGAAAGATAAGTAAGTACACCAGCACCCTAAGGCCAGTTCAGCCCACCTGAATCCCTGCGGGGAATGCCCATCTGTGATCATTATCAAAAATGGAAGAGAAAACAAAAGAGAACCCCTAATTAAGTAGTACATGTGAACTAACAGCACTTGAGACGCTGCCAGGGAGAAACTTGAGATGTTTGGGTTAAACATGGAAAAGCCGAGTTCAAATGTGATATAGAAGAGACACCTATAATGCAAGGGGGATACTTTGGATACTTTTCAATTGTTGATTCCAGTCAACAGAATGCCAGAGAGGAGTGCCCAGGTTCTACTGCTGACAGAAATACTGTGCTGGGAGTGCTGTGTGTCCCCTATTCTGGTATGAAGAGAGTGAGTCATCCAGGACTGGATTTTTCTCCCAGAATATATCTTTATGGGATACTTTGAAATGGCAGTTTTTGGTTTTGTTTTTGCTCGACTTTATATTTTGTTAATGACTTCAAATGACAATGGTCTGCGGAGGCTACTTCCAGCATAGATTTAGAAGCTCTAGACCACCCACCATACTTCCACTATGTTTTTTCCTGACATAGTTAATAAACGCATCTAAAAAGTCAATCTGAAACCAGAAGGAAAGAATCAAAAGACCTAGTGATACATCCACCGCGGTGCCAGTCCCAGGACTCAGGCTAACCCAAGAGCTTGCAGCTGCAGGGCCTGCACCTCATGTAGTAGCAGAAGCGGAGGTGCCGCTGGAGCGCTGCCTGTAGAGATGAAGTCAGTTTCGGAAGCTAGTCATATCTGCTTTACTACGAACGCGACTAGGTTGCTATAGCTGCCTCACAGTGATAAAAAAACAAACCTACCCCACCATAAGGTCACTTTAAGATAAACTGGGCTGAGTGAAACTTGTCCACCAAGAAGCCACAATACACTTGGAAATTTACAAAGCAGTGTCATGAAGCATAAAACCATCCTGTTGTCTATTCACAAAACTGTTAAAATTACAATAGTGGAAAAACCTGAAATCATAATTATGACATGTCTCAAATGAGTACATCTCACAGTTCTTAAGCTTAGAGTAAATACCAGTCACGTCAACCAACAGCCAATGTATAAACACTTTATTGGTCTGCTTTTTGTAATCATTTTTAAAAAGTCTCTCTCTACACACACATCCCTGTTATTTTTGAGTGTTTTTAAAACTCGAAGCCATCCCAGAGCTAGTAGTGGGTCATGTGTTCTCACTCGAGCACTGAGACAGGACAAGAAGCTACCTTCCAACCATTATCCATCACTACTCTGAGTCTATCTTCAGTAAATAATTTATGTTGATTACTTTTTCCTCCAGTTAACTAGTTAATCAGTATTCATTTGAGTCACCATTACCACTCACAGTATTGTTATTTATATATTTGGTGTAAACTGAATAAACGTGTAATTTTTAGGACATAACACCTCTTCTGAGATTATCTTAACAATCATGATCACCTTCTTGTTTTAATTTTCCATATATCAAATGAATTTTAGTCTTCAAAGCTAATTTCTACATTCAACCCAGAGACAGTGATGGTCTTTAAGAAGTAAAGACCGACCGGGCCCTCCCTGGTGGCGCAGCGAGTTAAATAAAGCACTGCACTAAGAAGCTTAAGCCACTTCCGCATGAGTTCGATCCCCACTGCCCCAGAGGAGACCACATGGGGCCGCAGACCTCTCCTGACCCGCTCACTGTTCCCCTCAGCAGTGTACTTCGATCTGCCTGTTCTGCTCCCCACTCTGTCTCTGGTGAATCCTCTCACCCTCTGCATCTCTGGCCTGTACCCCAGTTCTGTATGAATAAATAAATAAATCTTTAAATAAAAAAAAATTAAAAAATAAAAAGAAGTACAGACCAAGTCCATTCTTGTCTTGTTTCTGGCTTCCACTGTCACTTTGGACATACACCCCTCCCCCCTGTGAGCCCCAATTTCCTCATGTGCAAACAAGAGGTGGAGAACGGTAAGATGCCTCTGACTTTCACAATATACCATAAACTTCAGTCACTAAAAACTCTTCTTATAAGCTCCAAATTCTGTGATGTTCATGCCTGAGGTCTGCACAGAAGACACAGCAATAGGGAAGGGCTCTTTTACTTCAGTCTGACTCATCTTGCCAAGGTACTAGGCTGAACATAGTAGGCGAGGTTTTGAAAGTGAGTCTTTTTCTTTACTTGGCTTGAAAAACAAAGAGTAAGCATTATACTGCCAAACATGTAAGAAAGGGACACTTGGAGATAATAAAAAGAACTCCAAGGGGCTTAATAAAATTCTCAGCCAAACAAGCCAGGAATATAGTTCTTACAGTGAACAGACTGATTAAAGAAAACGAACGAAGTAAAGGGAATCAAACAGCTAAGTGGTTTTTAAAAAACGTGAAGATCAATTTTGGTTATCCAGTGAGCAAAGCAGCTCTCTTCAAAAGTACACATTTTACAATTTTTACTCCTGCTCTAGCTTTTCCCACAAACATTTACTGAGCACCTACAATGTACAAAAAGAAAAAAAAAAAGTTTACTTCAAATCTGGATAGTCAAGCCTAAATGAAAGTCTAGCTCCCATGTGAACAAATGTTATTCCAAAGCTCAGTCTCAGGAAGCAGGGAGGAGCTCAGTTTCCTTGCATGTGAATCATCCAAGCAGAAATCAGTAAAAAACTGAGGAGCAACAATTCTCAGACAGTGGCACCTGGACCAGCAGCATTATCATTTGGGAGCTTGACAGAAATACTCAGTCTCGGGCTGCTCCAGACCTAGAAATCAGGAGCTCCATGAACAGGGCTGAGCACTCCTGTTGTGGATGACACTGGAGTCTGACAGCCACTACTGCAGACTAGCAAAGGATCTAAGAAAGATGACTGGTTGAATGGGTGACTTTCTTAAGTCAAGGAATGGTCATTCAAATCAGTAACACTAAAAACTCAGTGTTAGAATGAGCAAAACAAAATCAAAATTTCCTCCTTTTAGCTGGGAAAGTAAATCCTTCACTAATGTTCCCAGCCCTCTTGTCATTTCTTTACATAACTATAATCAGATATTCTCTCCAAAATAAATTTTTCATTCAATTTCCTCAGTGAAGGTCTCTATTCAAAAATATTCAGTTTCTCCTTTGCTCCAAATGTTTGGTCATTGGTATCTGACAATTACTCACACACCCTCCCCCACAAACAAAACCCCATTCCCACCACTGCTCTCCATCTCAATGCCACAGAAATTACCTCAGGCTGACATCATCTCTCAGGTTGCCACAAATCATCTCTCTGGGGCACTAGTCTCTGGTTAGTAGTGTTCCCTTTAACAGCTCTCAGAACGACAAAACATTCAAACCTGAGTGTCACACCCTCTTGCTGAAAATTCTGTGGCTTCAGCACATAGGATAAAATCACTCCAGTCCCTTCTCCTAACACTTTACACCTTGGCAATACTGACACCTTGACGCCACTGCCAGTCCCTGACTTCTCTCAGTGTTTCTGTCCAATTTGTTACCTCAGTTTCTCTTGTCAATTCTAGCTCTACAGTGTCTGTCTCCCTACAGACTTAGCTTGAGGCAGGCCTGTCTGTCTTTCCTTGGACAGCATCTAGTGCTGGGCTACTATATTGGCAGTGTACAAGAAATATTTGCTGAAAACAAATAGGTTGAGGGAGAACAATTATCTTTTTTTTTTTAATAACAGTTTATTTTACATTTTTACATTTTTTTTTTCCATTTCAGTTGTAGTCCCCACGGGTTTCCCATCACCAAGTCACCCGTGTGCCATCACATAATCCCGTGCAATTCCCTCCCCACCCCACCCCCAGTTTTTGATCCCATTCCCCACTCCACCCCCACAAAATGTCTCTGGTATATTGCTGGAGAACAATTATCTTTATAAATGTCTTACACAAAAATGAAATTCTCTAATATCAAAATCTCTTAAAACAACCACAATTAGCTCAGGAGTATAACTGAGATATATAGTCAAACTACCTAGTTCTTGGTCTTTGTTAAGGTGTGAAAGAAAATAAAAACATAGTTCCAATTGCTTTGTCCAGTCCAGTCTATAGAGTGAACATCAATCTTGCCTGCTATTTCCTTTAAGTTTGAAAGTCTGTTTTCTACTTAGCCCAGTTATATTTTCTAGTTAATAACCTCGAGTTCTTAGGCCCGTATTGCCAGGTTCTGACAACCTGTACTACAAATCAAGGTAAGCAGTCACTCTACAGATACCCACAGTGCCTTGCCACTGCTTGACTCATGACCAAAACAGGGATCTAAGAAGGAAGTTGTATCTCTAGGGCTCATGAGGGGTCACTTAAGTATGAGAAGAAAATATGTCATGTGCATGTCTTTTTTCAATGTCATCTTTTAATCTACCTTTAATGCCATTTCCAAAAAAATATGCCCATGTTGCTTAGAAATACACATCTATTAGGACTTCCAGCTTAAAATTTCTTCTTCACTGATATGGCTAGAAAGCCAGAAAGATAAGGAGACCATCAGAGCTACCTGTACAAGAACTCATGAAGCCCTCACACCCACCCAGTTATACACAATAAACCTGCAAATGTGAATGTGGCTACCTGCGTTTACCATTCCAGTGATCAGTGATGCAACCTCAGACCACAAAACCAAATCCTGCCCCATGAGGTCCTATTTGTCTTTACCAGGGACTCACCATGTGCCCTTTAAGTCCCTAAGGAGGTAAAGTGAAACCAACTCTTCAAGATCTGACAGCTCTTGTGGCAGTCATGATAGGTTCCTGAAAATTTAAAGGATATTCTGAGAAAATAAAATTGTGTTTCCACCTGTTTTCTTAGATAGGAATTAAAAATGAATCAGCCAAGTGTGCCACCTAACAGAAGCAGGAATCAAGCAACAGAAAAATTATCCACTTCATTAGCATCCTATAATTACTTGGCCTTGTTTACCTTTGTCCAGAAACAGAGAATCAACTCTTAAGAATGGCTTGTCCCAACTACTACCCAACTGGTAATAGCTGACCAAATTACAGTTTCTAAAGATGAAGACTTTTTAGTTGCAGAATTTCTTAGAATGCAAGCTTTCATGGCATTTTCAAAACTGTGTTGTAAATTAACACCCTGTCCGAATTGAAGGATAATCGATTCAAGTAAGAACTCAACTAAGTGGCGGCTTAGAGACAAAACTACAAATTTCTGTGTAACCCAAATCTGGGTGAAAACCTTTTTTTTTTTTTTGAAACAGGAGCATTTTCAGATACCGATTACGGCATAAACCTCGGACATAAAAGAAGCCAAACACTTAGACCTCCTAAAGAACTGCAAGGTATGAGCCTGGGTGGAAGAACCGACTATTCTTTCCGGCAAGCAGGCTTTTCCATCCTCCCCATCGACACACCTCTGCCAGCTAGTTCCTCAGTGTTCCCTCCAACCGCGCTAAGCAAACACTGCATTTCTCGCCCTCACCTTCTATTCCACTCCCTCATCTTCTATTCCACTGTGATCGCCCTTGTTCAACTGTGTACAGTAGGATATTCCAATCACAGATCCCTAAGAAAGCCTTGTTATTCCTATGAAGTCATGTATTTAGTATTCATACCACTCCATCGACACCGAGAAAGGAACAGAATTCTCGGCCACCCCATACTGAACGGCTTTGGAAGGGCAGAGAATATCAATATCCCAGGTGGCAATGACCATACGGTCCACCTTCTGCACTTCTGGGAACACCCTTCATCCCGAGGGGCCAATACGGGCCGGGCTCAAAGCAACCTCACGTTGAACACCCCGAGGCCCTGGTTCTGGAGGGGGCACACCTCGCCTTCCGGCCCGGCCCGGCCCAGCCAGACCCCGGGGGTCGGCGGGTGGCGCCAGGGCGCTGGGCGGGGGCCGGGGATGAGCTCAGCGGCCCCGCCGGGTGTTACGGCAGGTTGCATCAGACGCCGCGCTGGGCCTTCCCGGAGGCCGAGCTGGGTATCCACGGGCCGGGCCCGCGCCCACGCGAGCGGCGGGCTCCGCCGAGGCCTCCTACCCCGCCCGCCCATGGCCTCCTTACCTGCGCCTCCAGCCCGCCCGCCCCCAGGCGGCCTCCTCTCCGAGCGGCCCCGCGCGGCGCGGCCCGACCCGACCCAGGCCTCGCAGCCCGCGAGTCAGCTAGGAGGAGCGACGGTTACGAAACCGGCTGCCTCCGCCCGTTCCGCCGCCGCCTCCGCCACCGGCTTCCCCTCCTTGCCCGGGCCGCGCGCGCTGCCACCGCCCCCGTGACCAATAGGGACGCCAGCCTGCGGGCGACGCACCCGCCCCCCGCGACGGGCAGCATCGCCAGCCAATCGCCAGAGGCCTGGCTGCAGGAGGCGGGCACGTGGCGGAGGCGTGGCCCACGGCGAGGAGGGTCGGGGCGGGTGTGGCAGTCGCGGAACGCCCCTGACGGCGCTGCCGGTGGGTCCGGGGTGGTCCGCGAGGGGCGAGGGCCGCCAGCTGCAGGCGACCGGCGGAGCGAAGATTGCTGTGGAGTTTGCAGGCGTTGGGGAACCGTAGCCTGGTGCAGGCGACACCTGTTTTGGGGAAGCACCATTTCCTGAGTGATGTTTTGAGTTGCCGGGTCCCAGTTGGCTACCGCGTCCCGCCCCCCACCCCTCCACGGGCAGTTTCGGGAACTGGACCCCGACAGACGCCCACTGCCCCCCGACAGGCGCCTCGCGGATGCAGTCCTGGCTCTCACAGTAGTGAAGCACTAATGTGTCAAAGGAACTAAGAAAATTCTTCCCAGGTGGAGTTAGTGCTGATGGTACAGTGGTAAAATCGCGGACGGCTCGTGGTGACGTGAAGTAAGGGACATTTTCACGATCGATTACCACCACCCCCCAATAATAATAACGACAATCCGCTGTTATTTACTTAGGACAGTTCACCAGAGGATCTGAAAGCGTTTTAAAACCAGGAAGCTGAGCGCTGGGGTGGACGGCAGAGCCCGCCTGATAGATTGGATTGTTTCCTCTTTAGTAATTCTTATCATTGTCCAACAAATCGTCTTTGAAAGAGGAAACGTTTCTTCATCGCCCAGGCAATGGGACCAGCTCTCCATATAAGACTGTTTCGAGGAATCAGTAAAGAGATGCTAAAACATCTGCCAAAAAATATAGATAAAAATTGTTTCGAGATGGTGGAGGTGAGCGGAGCATGTGTGCAGATGGAAGAGCAAAAATGAGATCCCCAAAATGGGAAGAAAAAAAAAGTGGAAGAAAGAAGGCTGCAATGGAACATGAATAATAATAACTGTGGCTGCATCTTGGTAGAATGATTTAATACCAGGAAAACCAGTGGATTCTCTCCGTTTGGCCCTCACTTCTAAGTTGCAATTTCCGTGATGGAGATTTTAGAACTATTAAAGCATTTTAGACTATATTTGGTTGTTTACAAAGTCATAATTTTACCCTATTTTCTGATCGTTTGAAAAGTGTCTAAGGAAAATTGTGTAGCAATAGTGCTATATCCTCTGGTTAGCTAATGCCTGCATTGTTGCTGCAGCTTCCCCTGGTCTGTCTGAGCAGGCCTTCCACACTCAGGTCTAGTCCAGGCCAAGGAGCCAAAGGTATTTATTTCCTCTTCCACTGGTAGCTGGTGATTCTTCTATTCGGCTTACAGATATTTATTTGGTACCAACTTTGTGCTGAGTTATGAGCTAAGTGCTAGCAATTCAGCAACAAATGAGACCAACACAGCCCCTGCCCACTTGGAGTTTTGCACTTACATTCAGTTATAACATGATTTTTTAAAAAATAATATAATAGTTTGTTTTTACATCATTTTGTAACTTTTTCCATCTCAGTTATAATTCCCATGGGCTTCCCATCACCAAATCACCCATAGTCCAGTGCACTTCCCTCCCCCCACTGTTTGTGATCCCATTCCCCACTCCACCCCGGTAAAATGTCTCTGGTATATAGTTGTTCATTATTATTATTATTTGCTCCCCTGGTCCTTTATACTCCTGCTATGAGTGAAACCATCTGGTATTTTTCCTTTTCTTTCTGGCTGATTTCACTAAGCATGATCCCTTCCAGCTTCATCCATGCTGCTGCAAAAGGCATGTGTTTATCTTTTTGATTGCTGAGTAATATTCCATTGTGTATGTGTACCATGTCTTTTTAATCCAAACATCTATTTTTGGGCATTTGGGTTGATTCCATGTCTTTCCTATTGTAAATAAAGCAGCAATATAACATGATTTTTAAAATAACCATTGTTATAGATACTACAGGATTCTGTGGGAGGGTGTAAGAAGGTACAAGAACCTGGTGTCCGAGTCAGGAAATATCAAAGGTGAGTGGGAGATGGAGTTGCTGTGCCAGTGAAAGGGAATGTCTTATCTAAAAGTAAAGGGAGAAATTTAAAGCCAAAGAGACTAAAGGGCACTTGTGGTCCAAGAAGTGTTCTGATTTTTATCCTGGGAAAGATGAGAAGCCTCAGAAAAGTTTACTCTTGTCACCAGGAAATGAGAGTAGGGTGGAAACTATCTCTACTTTGAAGAAATCTACCATAATTCTCTACCTCTCTGATGCCCATTACATATTCTGCAAAACAAAACAACAACAACCAAAAACCTGTAAATAAGTAGTACATTAACATCACCTCCAAATGACTTGAGAAGTAGGATGTCCTGTCAAGTGAATATCCAGGTTACGTGAGACCCACTATGATTAACTACCTTAGTTACCTAATAGGTATGGACTCTTGTATCAGGCTATTCTCTGTATAGCTTCACCTCTTACTGGTGACATGACCTCAGACAAATTACTTAACCTCTGTTATCTGTAAATGAGAATAGCAACAGTATCTTCCCCAATAGGACTGCTGTGAGGATTAGAATTAATCTTAGAACCACCACCCTCGCCACCCCCAAACAGCACCTGATAAGAACACAAAAGTATTAGCTACTATTACCACAGTGCTCATACATGAATTGTAAACTAATTATATCCATAGAATTATAATAGAATAAAAAACACTTTAAAACTAAATCAAGCTGGGATTAATATTGGTTTGATGATTCAGTCACTGAGGTATTTAAGACATTGATGTTGACCCTAGATCAGATCCCACAAGATGTTTTTTTTTAAAAATATTTCCTTAGTTACCACATCTTACTTCATTTATTTTTCCATACAAAAAATTTATGGAAAATACAGTCATTTGAAAACTCTTATTTAAAAACCAAATCAATAAAAGTTTACTAATCAAACTTAAATACCTTAAAGGTATCTTAAATATTTATAATATTTAGGCATTTATCATTAATGTATATTTAGAAAGTTCCTGAAAAATGAATATACCAAATGAACCTTTGACAGATTAGCTCACATGTGTGATATTTTGAGAACTCAGACAATATCTGTCACAGGAATGAGTCTCAGTAGATAGGGTGATGTATAATACAACAATAACAATAGAACAGTGATTGTCCACCATTCTGCATAGGTTAGACTCTTGGTTGGGAGTGTGAAAAAGAAACCACAGGCCTAAAAATAGAGTCACGAAGGCTAAATCTCACCTAGATTAAATACCTAACTTATTCACTGAAGCAGATTCAGCCTCTCCCAGGGGTGGAATTTTAATCTAACCAGTCTGGAGTTTCCTCATCAGAACATTGCCTAAAACTATCCTTTTACTAATAACCTCCACATGCTATATAAGTCTACCATTTTGGCAGCTCCTCCTCAGAGCATCCTTCTCTTTGTTAGAGGGGTGCTGCCTAGTGCATGAATTGTTTAATGAACTCAAGTAGATCTTTAAAGTTACTTGTTAGTTGTTTGTTTTTGTTTGTTTGTTTGTTTTTTAGTAAGAGTTACTGAAGGCCATACTGAACTAGACTTAGCAGAGGTTGGCATCATGGATTTAGTCAAAGATTAGTCATGAAAATCCCAGGTCATATGGGAACCAGGAAGCTCAGAGGCCCATGCTGACCCTGGTTCTGTGTGTCCTTATTGATTCCTTTACGTGTTCTACCTTCACACAAGCTTTCTTTACATGGCCACTGGTAGCCTCAGTGTTCACAGCTTCAGTCACTAAAGAAAGGCCAACTTTCTTTATAAGTTCCTGTTTCAAAACTGGCCAGAGGGATACTTACTTGGGTAAGTGTTCCTCCCCGGAAGGACCAAATGGCAGGAGCATATTGTGATGTGCTAAGGCACAGGGAATGACATAGGCACTTGCCAGGGAGAAGAGAGTGCTGAGCCGACAAGCCATCAATGTCCACTTCAAATGGCAGGTCACACCGCCACCCTAGTGGACTGATTTGTTTTTTCCTGGTGTGACACACTCCCTGTCTTGAAGGCAATATTTCTTTTTTTTTTTTTATAGATTGATTTATTTACGCATACAAGAACTGGGGTACAGTCCAGAGGCAAGGGGGATGGCGGTGAGAGGATTCACCAGAGACAGATTATGGAGCAGAACAGGCAGATTGAAGAAGTACACTGCTGAGGGGAGCAGCGGGCAGGACAGGAGAGGTCTGCTGTGCCATGTGGGTCACCTCCCTGGCCTGGAATCGAACTCCTGTTGCAGTGGCTGTTGATGGCTTCATAGTGCTGTGCTTTAACCTATTGTGCCACCAGGGAGGGCCCCAATATTTAAATTTTGAATGGAAGCACTGTTTTTGGAATAGTGTTTTGGAAACACCATTTGGTATTATAATAGCTAAGGTACTAAATGGTTGTCTTAAAACATCCCCAAATTTCATACGTGTGTCCTATGCATGAAAGAGAATAATCTGATATCATATAAAATGAAATGATTAGCAAATACTATGAACATCCAGCAGATAGCACTTTCCCACAAGTCAGGTCTCGTGATCCTACAAGTTGAGAGGAGCCCTGTGAGCACTTCATACTAGTGCAAATCGTCAGTGCACACAGGATGAGTGTAGACCATGTCAAGCACATGAAGAAAGTGTGAGAAGTAGACATCTGTGGAAACGGAGCCATTTCAGAGAAATTGCATTACCTGTTTCCTTGAACAGAGGCAAAGACCTCGGCACTGGGGCAAAAGTGATTATTTTAAGAAACCATCAAACAGTTGTCTGAGAAGTCACCCACATCAGAAGAACTGATAATTATGAACTTATCAAAGGCTATAATCAATCAAGTTCCCTTTTCATTCCTTCCAGTATCAGTAACAAGTATGTATGACTACACCCATATACATAGTC